CAGCTCAAAATAACTTTTTCATTATGAAATCAACTCCTCTGAGAATTGTTCTTTTTTAAATACAGAATAAGCTCAGCACAAGTTTTTATTTAAAAAAAAAAAAAGAGCACACACACAACATAAGGAATCCGCTAACAACCAAAGGAAAAGTACCTCATTTACCAAAGGATAAAGTAACCCAGAGATCGTCTCTTAAACACGAGCGGGAAGATTCCCAGCGACCACCGAGCAAAGAAACCCGAAAAACACTGAGTGGAACCAGCTGAGCGAAAACAAGTTGGTGTCAGGTTAGTTTCTCAGGTCCGGGCGGTGGTCAGAAACATGCACAGCCCAGCTTCCTACAGCGTACCTGCGTAAGGCACAAACCAGCTTCCTCTTTAAACGTTTGTTTATTCGCTCGGGGGCAGAAAGCAGTCCAATCGTGACTTTATACTAAAGTAAAATCGCATCACTCTCAGAGAAACTTTAGTATTTGGCATGTTTGCATAGTACAGAAGTATTTTCTTAATGTTTACAGAGCATAAAGGGCAGCACACAAACGCTTCTGGAGTCCGTTTAGCTTTTTTTCTCCGTTTTGGATTCACTAACCGATTCTTGGGCTTTTAGAAGCACGCCAGTGATTTTATGAGCAAATCGTTAACGCAGAGCAGCACTCAAAAAGTGGAGAAATGGCTGCTATTAAACTGCCACACCGACTGGCGTCTGGCATAAATCATAAGAACAACGAACCATAAATGTAATATTCCCGAAAAGAAGGGAAAAAGCGCTCCTCCTTTCTGGGTTTGCGGCGACGCAGTGAATGATGGGAGGGCTGGACGCGGCGTTCCTCTCCACAGGAGAGTCTGTTACAGGAATACTTCAGACTCTGCACATTACATCCATGTGGCTACTCTGAGAACTATATTGCTTCATTACAGTACAATCATCAACCGCTGCATTATAGTGCAGCGTGACTCCGACCGACGCACACACAGACCGTTATTCCCTCGTGGGAGAAAGGCGAAGAAAGATACGTCAGCAAATCCTGTGAAAAGACCAAAAAGCAGCCAAAGACTGAACACAGGAGTCTGATCGTTTTGGTCTTTTCAGAGGATTTGTTCATCGTAAAAATATAGAGCACCTCCTAGAAAGTTCACCTTTATTCACCCGCATAAAACCTCATGAAATCGGCAACAACTGGCCGTAATTTTAAGGTCAAAGTGAGAGTCGTGATGGGGGAGAGAAGCCTGGAGCAGGTTACTGGCTTTGACCTTTGACTGGGGAGAAAAGTGTCCTGAGGAGGTTTGGAGTCACTGTGGACGCGACTGACAGCAGCTTAAAGCACATCACGTATCATTCATTATTCTATTAAGTCGACAGAAGATCTGAGCGTCGCAGTGATTCTGATTACAAAGTACCTGCTGTGGCATCTGCAGATTAAGACACCAGAGTTTAAAAAATAAATCACATGTCCGTGTAAGGCTGACATGTCGCGCAGCGCACGGCGAGTGTCGAAAGGCCTGCCGACTTGCTTTTTTGCTAAAGACTTTAGTACCTGGTAGGAATCATCATGTGAAATGTCTGGAGCGACGCGGCGTCCCTTCTTACTCCCGACACGCTCCGGAGGCTTTTCCAAACTCCTCCGTCGGCCGCGACTTTATCGACAACGCGTTTAATGCGTCGTCTGGGTGAATATGTGAAAAATACTAGACGACAAAACGTTATTAATTCATTAGAAAGAAATACTGAAAATCTGCTTAAGTTACTTTTGTTTGCTTTTTTAAACAAGTCATGAACTGGTGAAGCAGGTTAAACGAGGATGGTAACAGTTCGGCTGTGGTTTGTGGTTTGGATCACAGTTCATGAGACGCTGCACTTGCATCCGATTCCAGAGGAAAGAGCCGACGGCGTTTAGTTGTTTGTTTTTTTCCAATCGCTATAAATCAAGTTTGAGTTTAAAATATGCAGACGGATCATCGAGGGAGATCTCTGCGGCGCACCACGTCCTCTTCCTGCTGCTCGCTCTGTGGCTTTTTGTTTGGACGTAAGCTCGGAGCCGAGTGTCCAGATTAAAACAAAAGGGGAAAAGAATGGTTTTGTTGCAGATAGCTGCTGATCGTAGAAGAAGAGTAAAAGCTGCGGCGTTTTACCGACTCAGGAGTCGTCTGCAGCTTTGCCCTGCACCTGGTGGTGACTGTTGTTAACTTGCGAGAGCTGCAGGCTGGTGTGGAGGACCGCGCCGAGGCAACACGTGGAGTCGATCTCCTCCAGGAGGCCTTGATCCTGCGCC